AGGTTCAAACCCAGCCCCGGCCAAAAACTGCAAAAAAAACCCCCATAATTATGAGAACTTTTTTTTTTTTTTTTTGAGACAGAGCCTCAAGCTGTTGCCCTAGGTAGAATGCCGTGGCATCACAGCTCACAGCAACCTCCAACTCCTGGGCTCAAACAATTCTCCTGCCTCCGTCCGTCTCCCAAGTACCTGGGACTATAGGCACCTACCACAACGCCTGGCTTTTTTTTTTTTTTTGGTTATTGTTGCAGCCATCGTTATTGTTTGGTGGGCTGGATTCAAACCCACTAGCTCAGGTGAGCCACTAGAGCCACAGGCACCAAGCCAATTATAAGAACTTTCAAAAAACTTCTAGGAGGGTGGCACCTGTGGCTCAATGAGTAGGGCGCTGGCCCCATATACCGAGGGTGGTGAGTTCAAACCCGGCCCCGGCTACACTGCAACAAAAAATAGCCAGGCATTGTGGTGGGCGCCTGTAGTCCCAGCTACTTGGGAAGCTGAGGCAAGAGAATAGCCTAAGCCCAAGAGCTGGAGGTTGCTGTGAGCTGTGACGCCATGGCACTCTACCAAGGGTGACAGAGAGACTCTGTCTCTAAAAAAAAAAAAAAAAAAACCTCTAGGAATACTAAAAAAGACACCAGCACTTGAACATTTATTGCAGCACAATTTACAATCACAACGATATGGTATCAACCTAAGTGCCCACCAATTCCTAAGCAGATTAACAAAATGTGGTTATATATGTACCATGGCACACTACTCCTGGAAGGAACTAGAGACCACTGTCCTAAGTATGTCAGGAATGGAGAAACAAACACCAACCACATGCAGTCTCTAATAACAGGGAATCAGTGGCCACACATGGGCAAAGACAGAGGTAAAGTCACCGGAAATCAAGAGGGGGATAAAAACCTACCTAATAGAACTGGTGCCCATAGCTCAGTGTTTAGGGCGTCAGCCACATACACCAACTGGTGGGTTTAAACCCAGGCCAGGCTAAACAACAATGACAACTGCAACAAAAAAAAGGAAAACACACACACACAAAAAAAAACCCTACCTAACAGGTACAATGAACACTCTTCTGGTGGTGGGCACACTAGCAGAGCCCTGACTTAAACATTATAAAACCTGGGTAACAAAACATTTGTACCTCCTTAATATTCTGAAGTAAAAAAACTTCTACAAAGAGAAGAGCATTTCTTTAACTAGATAAAAGGCATTTACCAAAGACAGTAGGAAACAATGTTTATTGGCAAAACTTTCAAAATTCTCCTTGTGTAATGAGACACAAGACAACTTACTGGAGGGTCCTGGCAAGTATAGTAAGACAAGAAAAAAATTGGAAAAAGAAACAAAATAATATTAAGTGCCCAGAAAATCAGATTCTATAGAAAAACTATTGTAATAAGCATAGATGCTATTCTATTCGCAGATTCATTATCCAAAGTCAATTCCATTTCTATATTCCAGCAATAAGCAGAAAATAAAATTTTAAGATAACACTTAAAGCAGTACAAAAAAAATATGAAACACCTAGGAATATATGATAGAAAGCCTCTGCAGAGAAAATAGTAAGACTTTATAACTGACATTAAAGATCTAAATAGATCTGACCATATTCACAAATTAACATATTTAATATTATTAAGAAGATAAAATCCCCATAGGCAGCTTTTACATGTGTAACCTCAGAAATGAAAATAAAACATACATAGAAGTACAAAGGGCCAAGAACAGTCAGATGCTTCTGAAGAATAAAGCAAGAGGGTTTGCCCCATTAGCTAACAAGACCTACTGTGAACATAAGAGTCAGTGTCTGACTTGGTGGGCTATTAGTGCAGCAACATAAGCTGCCCAAATGAACAGAGCAGAGCCCAGATACAGCCATAGTCCTCAGTGCTGATCCCCAGGAAAAAGACAGTCATTTCAATCAATAGTGCTGGACTAATTGGTTATCCATGTGGAATATCAGACTCCCAGCTTCCCACCATCATCAATTCCACGTAGAAGATTCAAGAGTAAAGACAAAGCTATACAGCCCTGCCAAGAAAACACAGGGAGTGGCCCAGCCTTGGGTTGGGAAGCATTTCCTAAAGGAGATGAAGTCAGTACCCATGGTAGAGAAGAAGATGAATATGCCCCCTCTACCTTTATTCACCCACAGAGTCCAAGAAGAATGCTAAATCAACCCACAACTGGGAGATATTTGTAATATATACAACTGAAAGAGGACTGGTATCCAGCATTTATTAAAAAAACAAACAAACAAAAATACTATACTTGGACGGCGCCTGTGGCTCAAAAGGAGTATGGTGCCGGCCCCATATACCAGAGGTGGCGGATTCAAACCCAGCTCTGGCCAAAAACTGAAAAAAAATAAAAATCATACTCCTACAAAACAATGACAAAAAAACATAATGGAAAAAATCAGACGATAACAGGCAGTTCAGAAAAAAGAAAACCAAACCGGTTGCAAATAAACACACGAAAAGATGTTCAACCACATAAAAAATAAGGCAGATAGGAAAGGTGAGGAGGCTCGTGCCTGTAATCCCAGCACTTGGGAGGCTAAAGTGGGAAGATCCCTTGAGGCCAAGAGTTTGAGACCAGCCTGGGCAATGAATCTAGGCTCCGTCTCTACAAAAAATAAAAATATTACCCAGGCATTGTGGCAGGCACCTGTTGTCCTAACTGTTTGAGAGGCTGAGGCAGGAGGATTCCTTGAGTCCAAGAGTTCAAGGCTGCAGTGTACTATGATGATGACACTGCACTCCAGCCTGGGATGACAGAGGAAGACCTTGTCTCAAAAAAAAAAAAAGAAAAGAAAAGAAAAGAAAAAAGAAAGGCAGGGCAGCACCTGCGACTCAGTGGGTAGGGCACTGGCCCCACATACAGAGGGTGGTGAGTTCAAACCCGGCCCCGGCCAAACTGCAACAAAAAAAATAGCCGGGCATTGTTGTGGCACCTATAGTCCCAGCTACTTGGGAGGCTGAGGCAAGAGAATCGCCTAGGCCCAGGAGTTGGAGGTTGCTGTGAGCTGTGTGATGCCACGGCACTCTACCAAGGGTGATAGGGTGAAACCGTCTCCACCAAAAAAAAAAAAAAAGGCAGATGCAAATTAAAACCACTTGGGTCAGTTGCAGTGGCTCATGCCTGTGATCCCAGCAGTCTGGGAAGCCATAGCAGGTAGACTGCCTGAGCTCACAGGTTCAAGACCTCCCTGGGCAAGAGCAAGACCCTCATCTCTAAAAACAGCCAGGCATTATGGCGGTTGCCTATAGACCCAGCTACTTGGGAGGCTGAGGCAAAAGAATCACTTGAGCCCAAGAGTTTAAGGTTGCTGTGAGCTGTGACGCCACGGCACTCTATTCAGAGTGACAAAGTGAGACTGTCTCAAAAAAGAAAAAAAAAAACACTTGGTGATTATACACACACACACACACACACACACTACTGAAAAGTTTCAGAGAGGAGAATAATTTGAGAAAGGCACACTGAAAAACAATTTGGGGCCAGGTGCAGTGCCTCTCGCCTATAATCCCAGCACTCTGGAAGGCCAAGGTGGATGGATGATTGCCTGAGTTCAGGAGTTGGACACCTGCCTGAGTTACAGTGAGACCCTCATCTATAAAAACAGAAAAAACAGCCAGGCATTAGTTCCAGCTACTCGGAAGGCTGAGGCAAGAGGATCACTGGAGCCCAAGGGTTTGAGGTTGCTATGAGCTGTTATGCCACAGCACTCTACCAAAAATGACAGAATGAGACTCTGTCTCAAAAAAGAAAGAAAAACCTAATTCCACACTTATGGAATCCATCCTTAACAGCCCCTGAATACATACACAATAATGGTGGTAACGGCCTTATTCATACCAGCAAAACACTGGCGGCAACATAAATGACTTCCCATGATGGAATGGATACAGTGCCATGCTGCTAACACCACACAGGCATGAAGAGTGAACAATCTCAGCTGCAACTTGGATAACCCTACCAAAGTGTCAAAAGAAAACAGACACACCCACACCACACACAAATCACAGCATGATATCATAATATTGTTTATAGCAAGCAAAACCAAACTCTACTATCTAGGAACGCATATAATTTGGTAACACTGGGAAGAATGGCAGAAAAAACGATCACCCCTCTGAAACCGGGAAAGGGAGAGGGGCAAGGTCGTCAATGGGCTCTGAGGAGCGAACGCTGTTCTCTTTTTACCTGTGTGATGATGGGAGTGGGTCTCAATGCTATCCATTATTTGTTAAATTGGACAAACACGCACTTTTATATACGTATTTCAATAAAAAACAATTATAGCCTATAACGTAATTAAAATACAACAGTAGAAGATGACTTAACAACTAGGGTGAATCGATATTTTGCAAAACTACTTAGTTTATCTCGACACAGAAAGGGGCAGAACATAATGTTTAGGAAAAAGGAAAAATAAATCTGACATATGTTCTAAAAAGAAGACCAAACGGTCTCAACCGCTGGATACTTCCCAGGGCGGCAGACTAACGGGGAAATAAAACCCTGAACCTGAGCCTGGCTAGGCCCAGCCACACCCCTCCGGAACCCGAGGTTTTCTCCTCGGCCCTCATCCGAACCGCAGCGGCGCCCCCCAAATTCGGTTACAGCCCCGGGCGGGGGCATTTGGGGGCAGGGAGAAGACCCCGGGCAAGGGTCTGGGTGCGGGGTGAGGAAGAGCAGCGGGGGCCCGGGAGAATGTAGGAGTCGGGGCAGGGGTACGAGGGCCTCGGACCGGGTATGCAGGTGAGGAAGGGCTGGGATCCAGGCAGGTGAGAGGGCCCTGGGGGTTGGGGGCGGGTGAGGGTACCTGGGCGGGGGGTGGGGGAGGCGTGGGAGCCCGGGCAGGTGTGAGGGGAAGCGGGAAAACTGGGGGAGAGACGGGAAGAGGTAGGGGGGCACTGTAGAAAGGTGGCGGACTGGGGGTCCCGGGTCGCAGGAGGCGCGGCCGGCCCCGCCCGCCTCACCTCGTCCACCGTGCGGCGCGGAAGGTGCAGCGTCCCGAGAAGCAGCTTGAGCTTCACCGCCGACGAAAGGCCATGGAAGCAGAGACGGATGTTGTCGATGACCGCGGCGGTGAGCAGGGAAGCGATGCTGGGCGGCGCCCACAGCTCATCCGTGGCCCCCAACTTGTTGTGCAGCCACAGGCCCGTATCGCTCTCCCGCATGGACGCCATCTTGGGGGGAAGCCACGCGCCGCCGAGCTAGCGTCTTATGAAGACACCAACGCGACCCGGCGAGGACCCGAACATGGCGGCGCCCTCTGGGCTGCGGGCCGTGGGGCGCTGAGGCCCCACGGTCGGGGTGTCGAGCGGCAGCGCAGCTGAGTGGCTTTGTGCCTGCGGTACGCTTCGTGACGCTCTGAGAGTTGGAGAGGCGCCGCGGGGGAAGCCCTGTCAGCGTCCGTAACGCATCATGGCGACGCCCACGGCTGACTCTTGGGAGTCGGCGAAAGATGACGTCAGAGCGCCGTGGCGTCCTTGCAGCGCGCGAGCCGGGCGGCGGTCCCCAGCGCAGTGCCCCTGGGCGCTCAGAGGGTGGACTGCAGGGCTGGCCTGAAACTCCCGCTGCCCCTGCCCACTGCTAGCCCTTCGCTCCCTCCTCCCTCAGCTCTACGCGTGGGCGAGGCCACCAGCCCGCGCGAGCCGCTACTTTCCCTCTGTGCTGGCGCGCTGTCGTCCGGTGGGGCTTCCCTTCGGGGGCCAGCACCTGGACAGCGCCGGCTGCGTTGGGAGCGGATGAGTTCGGACAGGCTGCTTCTCGGCCACCCGAGCGCTCCTCCAGTCCCCGGGGCTGGACCCGTGTCTTGCTCTCTCCTGCCCATGACGCGGACGCGACTGCCACAAAGCGCGCGTGCAGGTTTCTCGGAAGCCACCGTGACTGTCTGGGCGGCGCGTGACCGGGAGTAGGGGTTCAGGGTCAGAGGGCACACGGTGTCACGGGGGCTACTTGAAGGTACTGTGGGGTGCAGGGGTCACCTTCCCACCCAGTGCAGCAAGGGCCCTGGCTGCCGGGCAGATGTCGGAGCCGCCTGGCAAGAGCCCATTGTTAAATTTTCTGAAATTTTACAAGTCTGTCATTAAATACAGACAATCAATAAAAATCTAACTTCATTTTATTAGACTATATTATATTACTATTTTAATTTTTACAAAAGGCATTTTACTTATTTCCACTGTTATTTTACATTTATTGTAACTGATGATAGGATTGCCGCTGCACTCCCCAGCCCGACTCTGCTGATGGTGACCGGGCTTTGGCAGTTTGAACTTGACAGTGGTGGGGGAATTTGCGCCGTGGAAACTGGCAAATGCTACAAATCAGGGCTGCATTGATTGCTTTGTTGATTATCTAAAGAAAGTGAGGCAAGAGGATCACTTGAGCCCAAGAATTTGAGGTTGCTGTGAGCTCTGACGCGACGGCACTCTTCCAAGAGCGACAGCTTGAGACTGTCTCAAAAAAAAAAAAAGAAAGAAAGAAAAAAGTTTAACAATTACAACTTGAAAATGAGAAATAGTTTACCAGTTGGTTACAAATCAAAAAAAATTTTAAATACTAAATTCAATAAGTACACAGGATGTCCATAAAGTTCGTTTGCAATTTCTAAAGTGCACACGAACTTTATGGATAAACTGTCTAAGAAAAGAGTTAATACGGATGCAACTTCACTTGTCAAATCATGATTGAATTGTAACCATTAGTTGGCTGAAATGAAAATATTTGTTCACACAGAAACCTATGTCAAACTGTTTACAACTTTATTCATGACAGCCCCAAACTTGAAACAATCCAAATGATTCTGACCCTTTTGTAGCTTTCGGGAGAATAGATAGTACTTGATGCATCAGAGTCCTCGGTTTTATGTCCTTGAAACGAATTCTGGGTCATCAGGAAAAATTAAATTTATTATAAACCTTTGGCTTAAAGAGGACAGACCGCTAAGAGGAGATATTTGCAATATTAAAACCACAACAGCAGGACAGTGCCTGTGGCTCAAAGGAGTAGGGCGACGGCCCCAAATGCTGGAAGTGGCAGGTTCGAACCCAGCCCCGGCCAAAAAAAAAGATGTTAGTAAAACAACAACAACAATGGGGCTGGGCACAGTGGCTCACACCTGTAATCCCAGCACTCTGGGAGGCTGAGGCAGGTGGATTGCTTGAGCTCCAGAGTTTGAACCAGCCTGAGAAAGAGCAACACACACACACAAACACACACCTGTCTCTACTAAAAAAGAGAAAAATTAGCCAGGCATAGTGGTGTGCGACTGTGGTCCCAGGTACTCAGGAGGCTGAGGCAGAACTGCTTGAGCCCTGGAGTTTGAGCTGCTGTGAGCTATGACACCCTAGCACTCTACTCAGGGAAACAGAGTGAAGAAGAAAGGGAAGGGGAGGGGAGGAGAGGGAAGGAGGGAAGGCAGGGAAGGAACGGAAGGAAGGAAGGAAAGAAAGAAAGAAATGAGGGAGGGAGAGAGAGAAAGAAAGAAAGAAAAATACAAAAAGACGGAAAACTCAATAGAGGAATGTGCAAAAGATAAGAATAGGCAATTCACAGAAGGGGAAACCCAAATACGTGATAAGCATACAGAAAGATGCTTAAGACCTCCTCAGTAACCTGAAAAGTTTCAAATTAAAATGACAAAGTGCCTCATTAAACCAAGTACACAGCAAAACTAAAAAGCCCATTGTTCCAGTAGTATTTGTTGGGAAGTCTATCCTTGCCCCACTGATCTGCACTTGAGCCTTTGTTAAGAATTTATTGCCCACACACGTGGGTAAGTTTCTGGACTCTTAGGATGTTCTCATCTGTTTTTATGCCAGTACCACTGTCTTGATTACTGTAGCTTTCTAATCAGCATTGAAATAAGGCAGTGCTCATTTTCCAACTTTGTTTCTTCCCAAAGTTATTTTGGCTATTTTAGGCCCCCCTGCATCTCCATAAGAATGTCACAATCATTTGTCTATTTCTACCAAAAAAAAAAAAATGCTGGCCAGGTGAAGTGGCTCATACCAATTATCCTAGCAATCTGGGAGATTAAGACAGGAGGATCCGCTTGGCGCCTGTGGCTCAAGCGGCTAAGGCGCCAGCCACATACACCTAAGGTGGCAGGTTCGAATCCAGCCCAGGCCTACCAAAACAACAATGAGGGGTACAACCAAAAAAATAGCCAGGCGTTGTGGCGGGCGCCTGTGGTCCCAGCTACTTGGGAGGCTGAGGCAGGAGACTCGCTTGAGCCCAGGAGTTGGAGGTTGCTGTGAGCTGTGATGCCATAGCACTCTACCCAGGGCAACAGCTTGAGGCTCTGTCTCAAAAAAAAAAAAAAAGACAGGAAGATCACGTGCGCCCAGGAGCTCAAGGTTGCAGTGAGCTGTGATGAATTTTGATTGGAATTGTATTGTGTCTGTATATAATTTGGGAAAAGCTGACAGCTTGGTTTGTGAACACAGTACATGTATCTCTCCATTTATTTACATCTTCTTTAAATTTTCTCAGCAGCATTTTGTATAGGTTTGTACAGGTTTTACACACCTTTTGCCAGATTTGTAAGTATTTCATATCTTTTGATGTTATAAAAGATACTTTTAAAATTATTTATCTTTGTAGTTTCAACAGCTAGAGAAGGGTGTTGTTTTAAATATTTAGTTTCCAAGTGTTTGTTGCCAGTATAGAAATACAACTGATTTTTGTATATTCATTTTGTATCCTGCATGCTTGCTAAATGTATTTGTTCTAGTAACTTTTTTTTGCAGATTCTATGAGTTTTCTACAAAGATAATCATATCTGTGGAGACAACTGTACTTCTTTACTAATCCAGTTACTTGATCCTGCAACATAAAAGAGTCCGGATTTTTTGTTTTGTTTTTTTCCTGAGACACAGCCTCACTCTGTTGCCCTTGGCAGATTGCTACAGCAGCAGCTTAGCTCAAAGCACCCTTAAAACTCCAGGGCTCCAGCGATCCTCTGCCTTAGCTGCCAAGTAGCTGGGACTGCAGGCACCCCCCACAACGCCCGGCTAGTTTTTCTATTTTTAGTAGAGATGGGGTCTCACTCTTGCTCAGGCTGGTCTCAAACTCCTGAGCTTAAATAATCCACCTGCCTTGGCCTCCCATAGTGCTGGGATTATAGGGGCGAGCCACTGTAACAGCCAAGAGTTCTGATTTTTATTTATAATATTCATACTTTAGAACAATGAATTTTATTACTTTATTTTCCATACATTTTAGAGTTAGTGTGTTGAATTTCTAAAAAAATTTCTAGTGGAATTTTAATTGGATTTCCATTGAGTTTGGGGATTGATTTAGAAAGAATTGGCATATTGGATAGTATATGACACACAGAATACCCTTCATTTGTCTTCCTTTATGGTCTTAATGGACATTAGTATCTTCTCCATACAGTCCTCGTTCATTTGTATTAGATTCAGATGCCTTAGAGCAGTGGTTCTCAACCTTCCTAATGCCACCACCTATGTTGTGGTGACCCCCAATCATAAAAATTTTTTTTTTTGAGACAGAGCCTCAAGCTATCCCCCTGGGTAGAGTGCTATGGCATCACAGCTCACAGCAACCTCCAACTCCTGGGCTCAAG